TTTTTTTTTTTTATTCCACCGCAGAAAAAACAGAAATCGACGGATACGGATATTAACCGCTTTGCAGGAGGAGAACATTATGACAGTTCGTCAGTATCAGTTTCATTAGCTTCACTCAATCGTTCGTTTTTAAATTTGTCTTTCATTTGTCAGTCGTAGTCAAGCAAACGTCCCGAGCGGAAATGACGACGATCGGGTGGGAAACGGGTGGTAACGTGGTCCCGTCTAGATTAGGGGAATTTCGACGAATTTCTGTAGGTGGCTGTTAGGAAGGCATGGTGTCATCCGTAACCTCGAGTGACCTCGACGCGCGAAGTCGAGGAATTTTCTTTGGCCGCGAAGAACCGTGGGAAGAAGGGGAAGGAGGAAAATTTCTGACCACACCCCGTGTCTTTTTGGCAGAGTTTCTGCCACGGTCGATAAACACGTAGGGCACGCGTAGAGCACGCGTTACACGGTGTCACCTGTCTCGGGGGTGCTTCGTTATCCCCTTTTCTTCTTCTTCAAATCGTCGCATTGTCCTCGGTTGAACGGGGGTCCACGTGCGTCCAAGCGAAAACAAATAAACTGTTCTACGAGATTTAATTGACTTACTGGTTTTGCAGGATATTGATTTTCAAATTTAATAATTCGCAAAGCCATCAATTTTGTTTTTCTTCTAATCTATCGTAAATCGTCCGAGCCGCAAGGAATATCCGAGCAGAAAAAGTAAAACAAGTAAAACAAAAATTTGCCAACTTTGCGGAATATTAAATCAACAATCTTAATATTGATAGCCTTTGAATTTAGTCTATTAATCTTGTAATTTAACTCCCCTTGCACTCCGAGATTTACATTAATTTAAAAATCTACCAACATAACGGAATGTTAATTGCAAGATCTTTCCAGCAATTTATCATTGTCACAATTTATCACGAAGGTGTACTTTGTTTTATCTCCATTGTTTCTCTTTTCTTATTTTCCTATCAGTTCGAAAGTCGCGAGGATTTTAGGTGGTTTCTTTATCGATATTGTTTAATCGAGTTTCACCGAAGTTGGTCGCGTTACGAACGGTCCCGTTTATCCATACAAATTGCTTCGCATGATTCGTGACTAACGCGGCCGCTTTCGATGCGCGTTCCTGACTCTGCACACGCGTTTCACCCAACCACGAAAACCGAGCGAATCTAATTTGAACGGCAGCACCGCGGACTCGCAATTAGGGCCGGCTGATTTAGAATATTGTCCGTGCGTGTAAACACGTTTGTTTTCGAGCTGCGCCCCATTCGACGTCTAATAATTTTCTCTCTGGATTATCCAACCCTGAAATATCTCTCTCGGTAGAAAACCGGCTGATTTAGCCTGATCGTTGATCTTCGACGAATTGAAACGGTGGAGTTTTATTCGAATGCTAAATGCAGGAACAGCCGTATTCTTAGAAAGTCATTTCATACAGAGAGTATCCGTTCCTGCAACGTTGAATTTTTTTTTTTCTTACAGATGAATGAAAATCCGCGGCTATCGAGATTAGGTTAGATTAGATCGAGCCGTATTAGACGTAGGAACATATTAGAAAAATCGTGGAAAATTTCGTTTCGATCTTGAATAATCTATTTGGTAAGTTTCCTATATTTTCCACATTTCACGTGCGGATTTCCAACTGTGCGAAAATTTTAAATTACGAAGCAGGAAGTGACTTCATAACGGAAGTGGTCAGTTTGTCTCAAGCGTCCAACAAGCGTGAGGTCAGAATTGCCTTTTGATTGTATAAAATATCTATTATGGAGTATGTTTGTTTGATAAAGGAGCGAATCTAGAGGTTGTACAAGAAACGAGAAATTAGAATTTTTGTTCGCCGTTGTCTATGAAACACGCGTTAATGGAAATACGCCGTTCTGCCGGAA